GGTGAGGATAAAAGGGGGCAAATGTGTGGAGTGGGGAGAAAAAAGATTAAATATTTTATTTTAATTATTTATTTTAATTGTTTTTTTTTTTTTGGAAAAAAAAAAAAAAAAAAAAAAAAATACTTAACTTGTAATTGATTAGCTTCTATATTATAATTCGTCACATAATGCTCCTTTATTTTTTTAAGTTCTGCATTACTTAATACGAGATATTTTGTAGAACCAAGAAAATTTTCTTTATATTCATCTGCTGAAAAAATGGCTTGATTTGAATCTTTTATATTTGTTAATGAAAATATTTTTTGGTTGATTTTTTTATAGAATTGTAAATGATTAAAAAGCTCAATAGTATGAATGTTATTAATAATATTCTTATATGGATGTAATCGTGATTTTGCAAATGGTAATAACATGCCACAAACTTGTTCAATTGGAAACTGCCATGTAGCCCAACATGGGCCATTGTGTTGAATACTCGAAGATATATGAAGCATGTAATGTATATATATTTTCATTGCACTAATGCGTTCAACTGAATTTTTGTAGTACTTTCTAGTAAGTATAATAAAATGAATATAAAAAAATTAGATATAAATATCATAGCTTTGCTTAACCTCAAAAAAACTACTACTTTAGTAATTTTTAAACTAAAATTAAATTCAATTTTAACTTTTAAATAAAAGATAATAAACTTGTAAATTCAATTTAATTTAAAAATTACTAAAGTAGTAGTTTTTTTAGTTTAAAAAAAAAATGATATAAATATTACTTTTCATAATGAGTATAAAACTTTAATAAAAGTTTATTAATATTATTTAAATCATATATTGATATAACTTTTTTTTGGTATAATCACACTGCTCTTACAAAAAGGCTCCATCCATTATAATATTCTGATAGTAATCGTCCCTTAAGTAAAGGAAGTGAATACATTGTAATTCATGCTGCCCACTCTTCAGCTTTATAGCCACGGTAATGGTGTGGTATATTACGTAAAGGTCTTTCAAGATTTGATGATAAATCTTTGCGTAATGAGTGCATCTGATTTCCAATTTCAGACTATACCAATTTTGCAAGTACATATGGCTCATTGTTTTGTGATGCATCTGAAAAGAATGTTCTAGTCCAATATTCAAACATATACTTTGCAATATTTTCATAGAATAGCATGACATCCACAGTAAATGAATTAGGAAAATTAATAGTTGTTAGATTAAAAAGAATACTATATTTGCTAATACTTGTATATAAAAATAATATATATATATTTAATATATTTATAAAAATTATAATGCTATTAATAAAAATCAAGTAGAATCTACTTGATTTCTATTAACAGCAACCCATATATGATATTACCGAAACTAGTAATAAACTCATTTTGCTCTTTTTCAGGCTTGGCTTTTTGAATTATTTTAAGTCTTCTTTTCCATTCTTCATACATTCGAATTGGTAAATTAGATACTTGATAGCTTGTAGAATTGAAGTTCTTAGGTGGAGTTGTAGGATAATAGATATGTTTTATATAAATTCCTTTTAAATCACAATAATGACAACCATAATAACTATTATGCCCGGTAAGACCCATTAATTTTGTTAACCCTGGTGTGTCACCTGACCAACTAATTATTATAGCACGAAGTGTAAAATATTCTTTTTTAAATGCATCATAACAATTTATTCCTACTAATAATTAAAAATTAGTAAAATTAACTTAATTATATAGCTTGTAATAAATTTTTTTTTACAAATATATAATTAAAATATATATTAAAATACATATTTTAAATATATATTTGTAATAAATAACTTAACATATATATATACCTTCTAATTTTTGTAATTCTTTTATTATAAGAAAAAGAAATGAATTAAGATCTTTAGGTCAGGTATGATTAACCTAATTAGAAGATTATCTTTTTTAATCCGATTTTCAGGTGCCAGATTTGCATTAATTACTAGTATTACCCAACAGTCATCAGTCTTTTGTCTAAATATTTGATAACCATCAATTGAAGCTAACAATGCCACATCACACTTATCTTGAAAGTGTCCACTCTGTACTAATTCTTTATACTGAATACCATCAAAAACATCCTCTATTTGAGTATTATTTTTATATAATCTTTGTGATATATAATTAGCTCTATATTGTAGTTCTGTAGCATGATCAGAATCTCCATATTGAATAATAAGACATTGTGCAAGTGAAAAATATGCAAATTTTTGACATGGTTTCCTGGCTTTGTTATAATAGTATCGATCTGATTTACAAATTTGACACTTAGTTAATTTCTTATAATTTCTAGTATACATACAGCAAGAGTTAAAACACATATCAGTCTATATAGGTCTAATATTCACAAATGATTTCATTTTTTAACTATATGCAAACTAATTGGTTCTACATTAGCTGCAATTATGGTTTGTTGAAATGCTTCATCAGTTAAATTGTATTAAACCTTCACTTTAAATAATCTTAATGCAATAGCTAATGCCTCAGAAATGTTATTGCTATACTTGAATCTAATAATAATACCAAAGTATTTAAATAAATAATAAATAATAAATAAATAAATATATCATTCTGAGAATTATAAGCATAATTATATTCAGAGTCAGGATCACTTAAAGACTCATCACTGTCAGAAAAACTCGATGAATTGCTACTATTTTCTTGTAAACTTTCATATCTTTCCATATTAATATCAGAATTAAAATCCAGGATTTCCATATTAAAATTGTTATCACTATTAAAATCATTATTGCTATTAAAATCATTATCGCTATTAATATCATTATTGCTATTAAGATTATTAACAATATTAATATTGCTATCGCTATTAATTTCGTTATTGCTGATATTATTGTTATTATCTAACAATAATAAGAATAAATCTTGATCATAAACAGGTTTTGGTTTACTATAAATTAAAATTGTTACGTTCGTTATTATTTAATATGCTTATGTAATAAACTCTGCAGGTCAACTTTAAAAAAAAAAAAAAACTTAACTAATGATCGTCATTGTTACTGTCTAAACTAAATTTTTTTTTTTTTTTTTTTTTTTTGGTATTAAGGTGAGGACTTGCTTATATCTTTATTGATTAATTTATATAAGTAATTACATATCAACTATATAAAAACTTAATTTGTATAATAAC